CGCAATCTATTATGGGCAGTTGGATGAAGATCTGATTGTCCATATAAAAAGGTGACTAATGCAATCATATTTTTAGGTACATGACAAATAGAGGCCCTCGAAAAAGTTTCCACCTCTCCCGGTTAGAGCATCTCTAGAGATCCTGCAAAAACTCGCTGACCTGTAAACTCTAGCCATTTTGCGGGATCTCATGTTTTCTCGGTCCGAATAGATCCACTAATTGCCCGACCCATTAAAAAATTAGAAGTGGCCGGCAAAAACATCCCTCTGACGCTATATCTACGGGCCTGGCTAGGATTTAGGGTTACCAAACCCTATCCCTCCGTCGCAAAATCGCCAGCCCCGCTGCTAGCCATCCCGACCTCCAGCGTCAAATTCTCCCTTAAATCCGCCGTTTTTCTTCAACCCCCATGGCCGGTGCTGCTCGCGAGCGTGGCGGTCGTGGCACGTCGCCGCCGCGCAAGCTCACCCGGCACGACGCTGAGGTCGACAGCTCCAGCTGGCCCGCCATCGAGCCATGGCGGTCCGAGTAGGTGCGCGATCACAACCGCCTCCCCCGTAGTGGTGGGTAGAGCCCGTGGGCCTGCTTTTACGAGCTCCACGATGTCCTTTTCCTGCACACCCTAAGGTGCCGGGAGGTGGATGCGGAGTTCTTAGCTGCGGAGCGCGTGGTGGCGGCCGGAGAAGAAGGTACCGCCTGCCGCAAAGGAGGATCAAGCTTATGCCCACGCGTGCCGCAAGTCGGCTCGACGTAGAAGTTCTACCTTGGCATCGATGATTGAGTCGGTCTCCCCTAGGTTTACTTTGTAGTATGAACTTTGTATTAGCTATGTACGAACTCGGGGTGTTTGATGAACTTTGTATCATGAACTGGTTTTTACATTTGTTGTACCTCCCGCAAAATCATTTTAGGCGGAATTATACCGGATTGCTAGAGATGCTTTTGTGGGCCTAAGAGCATCTCTAGCAGATCCCGCAAGCCAGACGCGCTACAAGAACATATCCCGCATATGATACAAATTTAAACAAACTATTTCGCGTTAAAAACATGTCGCTGGAGTTCATCAAATCAACATAGCATAGCATAGCATACGGGAGTTCACACACATAGCATAGGTAGTTTTTAGTATAAACCATAATTAAACATAACGGAAATTTAAAAACACATACCTTAAAGATCTACTTGTCGCCGGAGTCCTCGCTGGAGCCGTTGTCTCTACCGTGGTTCGGCGGAGGCTCGTTGCCATGCAGAGTGTTGTACGTCAGCATGGAGCAGAGGGTTGCCTGCAGCTGGAACTCCTTCAGGAGCGCCGGCACACTCGCGACCGCAGCTACATCTCCGGCCGTGGCGTCCTCCTTCGCGTTGAACCACGCGACCACCATCTCCCTATGGCGTTGTAGTGCCGGATCAAAGATGTCGCAGAGGTGACGGAAGTTGGCCCAGCGCCGGCGCTGCGGGACTTGGTGCCGCGCTTGCGCGCCGCCTCCCTCTGCTTGTCCGACACGGGAGGTCGGAGGCCGGAGCCGCCTGCCTTGTCGTCGTTCCTGCGCTTGTGGGTGATGAAGTCGTTGCGGCCGCCGCCTCCACCGCGGCACCCGAAGCCCCGGCGGTCGCCGAAACCCCTGCCGCCTCCACGCTCCGCACCCGCCGTCGCCATCGCCGCGAAGATCCGTTCGAGCAAACCGCGGCAAAACGCTGCCGAAGAGGGATGATTTGTGGCGGAGATGGAAAGGGAAGAAATGAGAGGGATACCCTAAATTAGCAAGGCATCAGCATATATACCCCGGATGTGAGGGCGGTTTACTGACCTCCCGTAAACCTTTTACGGCCAAGCCGTTTTTGCGGTATTTGCTCGGGCCGAATTTTTTGGGCAGTCCCATAAATCGGCCGGAAAAACGTTGTTCGCCGGGCCTTAAGGGATTCGTTAGAGATGCTCAAATCTTTGCTTCAGTAGACCCCTTTCCGGAATTTCTCAAAAAAAAAGTAGACCCCTTTCCGGTTACGCAAAAAAAGTAGACCCCTTTCCATTTCCCTCTTCTACCCCTCAAAAAAGTAGAATCCCTCTTCTGCAGCCCTCTTCTACACCGCCGGTGAGGTCACACGGCCTCTCTCCCTCCCGGCACACTACCACAGGTCCGGCGCCTCCCTGTCCAAATCATGCATTCGAAGCTCGCCGCCTCGCCATGGCGCCCTCTGCAGTGGGGCGGCGTCGTCGGCGTGTCCCCGGACACCCACGCGCATTTCCGCCTCATCGACACCGCATCCCGCCGCCGCGCTCCACCTTGCGCCCTCCCTCCGCTTCCCGCCTACGAACGCTCTCTCTGTAGGTATAGCTCCCAATCTCTCATCCAAATCGAACAATTAATACCGCCAAATGTTTTCTTCTGAGTGTGCGTATTATTTTTATCTTATCGTGCAAAATTACTAAATTAGTGACGAGGGGCATAGAGCAATCCAAAAGCAAGAAACACCCTTGAATCTAGAAATATATAGAAATAGATGAAGAGACCTCTCCTAGTACATGTTGTTACCTGATATCAAGCCCACAAAATCTCTGACCAGAATTTTACCTAGCTTTGCATTCGCAAGATCACAGTCCTCATCCTCTGACATGTACCTTAAACACAGCTCAACACTGTTATAGTTTTCCAGGTTGTTTCTACGTAC